TGTCGTTTGAATTTTTGTCTTCCTGACATGAACTCTAGTTTCTTCCGTTGTCAAAACTTGTTTCAGCCGTTTGTTGTGTAGATTTTCAGAGAGCTGTGTAACCTGACATGCGAGCTGTACTTCTTTTGACCATAATCTGTGGTGCCGTTGGGCAGACAGGCTGGTCCAGTTTCAATGGCTACTACTACAAGGTTGTTTTTTGATCAGGTTTTCCCTACTTGATGGTACAGCGTCTTGATAAATCCTCTCTTCGACCTGATTGGTCACAGTGCCCGTTCCACAGGAACTAGGGCCAACCTTCCGTTAGCGGATACTTTTAGGGGGTGCATTTTGCAACCTTGAACGAAGAGTCCCACAAGGTGAAATAAACACTGCATTTTTGAAGAGCTGGCAGGAAAATTGTGAAGTTTTAGTCGACCACTCCAACTGTTATTTGTGTTCATGTATCTTCTACAAATATTTTAAAGAGGGGTGGGGGTGAAGATGGAGTAGAAGAGGGTCACTTCATTCTGCTCTGCGACTCTAACGATAAGGATCGAGAGCTCCACAGTTGATGGTCCACTGAAAATGTGCAGAAAATTGATCGGATGTGGATTATGTAAGTACATATCTCACCGGTTCTATCAATAACTTATTTTGAAGGAGCGTGTCAAAGTCCTCAAGCTCATTGCTAGAGATATCCTTAGCCTTATATTGGCCCCTATCGTCAGCTCCGCAGAGCAGAATGGCTCCCTCCTACTCGATTTGCACCTTTTGGTGGTGAAACCCAGAGACTGAGGGCGGTTAATCATAAGGATTACCGCGGAACTGCAGTAGGACTTCCTCAACTCATGAAGAACGAGTCGTGCCGACGTCAAAATTCGCTCAGGCTGTTTTGAGGATGAAAGCCCTTCGCTAATGTCAAGCTAATCATAACTGATGGTGTTCCTTCAGGAATTCAACCATCCTGCCACGTTTGACGAAGCTGAAGCTCTGTGTAATTCTGAGGGCGGACATCTTGCTTCGATTCATAGCAGCGAAGAAAATGCTAGTAGACTTCCTCAAAGAACGAGTCGTGCCGACGTCAAAATTCGCTCAGAGCAGTTGGTTGACCCTGACTGGAACTGCTCATCGCATCACTTCTACCTGCACACACGCATCGAGTTTCAAAGTGACATAAAAATTCTCTAAGAATTTTTTTGAATTCAAGACATTTGTCCAGGAGCAGGCGGGCAAGTCCTACAGTAGGCGGGGCGCTGCGGCACACAGAGGAGGCTTCTTGGAAGGTTTTTCTGAATCACGGATATCGCTGCCGACTTTGGGTTGCATCGAAGAACGGGCTGAGTTACGGTAGGAGGCACATGAGTCTTCCACCCAAGGGTCTGCATGTTCTCGAATTTCAGCAAGGTTGTGGTGAAATGTGGTCTGGTGGGTGGGTATAAGTTGCTGTGATCTGTTCAGACTTCCGGGAAGGCAATACTTTCGAGCTGTGAGCCTTATATACTTGATTTAGAACCTGTGAGCGAGCTAAAGAAGAAATTGGCAGATAAGAAGAGCGAAACAGTCTTTTTCAACAACGGAACAGTGCCGAATCCAGACCAGTTATCTACGAAATTGTTGTATAGGCTGTTTTGAGGATGAAAGCCCTTCGGCCAATGTCAAGCTAATCATAACTTGATGGTGTTCCTTCAGGAATTCAACCATCCTGCCACGTTTGACGAAGCTGAAGCTCTGTGTAATTCTGAGGGCGGACATCTTGCTTCGATTCATAGCAGCGAAGAAAATGACTTCGTTTATGGTACGTCCTATATCGTGCATAAACATACAATGGACTGATTTTGAGTCACCGAAAAATGTCGAATGCCGAGGTTTTTGGATAGGAGATCATAAGTTAAAAGCTGCTCTCAGCAAAAGGAAGAGCGAATCATGAGATGTATGCTCTGCTCCTCTTGAGAATGCCTACCTTTCTATTCGCGCTATCATCAATGCTTTGCAGAGGAAGGGACAATTTTGTAGAAGCTGCTAGGGCCTTTTAACGGTTCAAGCAGCACGTCTCCTCAGGAAAGGAATAAACTTGAACATGACTATCCCCATCCTTTAATCGCAAGTTTTTCTTTCGGAAGGAGCGCGGCCTGTGTAGAGCTTAAATTTCCGCAACGCCGCAGCAATGCAAGCCGGCATCGCAATCTTGGTTAACACAACTTGTTGGATTTTTCAGCGAAAGCACATAAACCCTACTGCAGCTACACCTTAGACTAGACTTCTCACAATAAGAAAGGTACCCAAATGCAGAATGTAGGCCCACTTCGAGGGTTCACTGCCACTTTTCTTATACATAGTAACTTTCTCGAACCGTTGCACCTCTGAGCACTAGCACTTTCACCTTGATTTCAACCGTCAACCAAACTGGAGTGCGTACTGCTTTTCACCTTTTATAAGAAAAGAAGGGTGAAACTCCAGTTCGGGGGGGGGCACTCCATTGCTATCTTATCCGTAGTACTAGAGAGCAGTTCTTTGGGCTATCGAACACTACGGATAAGATAATAAGTGAACGACTCATTTCGAGCGTACTTTTGATAAGGACCGGTGGATGTCCTACATTCCACACTACCTGCCCACATCCCATCCACTTTTCTGCACAGGTGATCCACCCTGGAGCTCCTGCACCCTTAGCCCCTTTGCAGAATAAAAAAAACAAAATAAAAAAAAAAAAAACAAAAAAAAAAAATCCGAAAAAAAAAAAAAAAAAAAGAAAACAAACTGCCGTTATCCTAGTTTAGGGCCGCTTCCTTTGGGACCATGGCAGGCAGAAACGTGAAGGGTTCCTTCCACATTACACCGAAACTCATCAGAAGTATACTTTAAATAAGTCGATTACGTGTCATGAGCGCTCACATCCTTATCCTGAGTATTGGGGAAAAATGGAGTGGCCCCCCAAACTGGAGTTTTAGCAAAAGAGGCTGGTGGAATGGCGCAATCTACTGTGAACGTAACGCACGGTGTAGCGGTTTCCCGCAGATTATAGAAACTATTCAGAGAACTACAAAACCGAGGCCATTTTCGCTGAACGCGGCTTGAGACTAAAAACGTCGATCACTCAGTGAAAGTGAACCACCCTTGTTCTGCTGTGAGAGTACCTGTGAGAGACCTCCTGAGGGTGCAGACCTCCTGAGAGTCCGCACCCTCAGAAGGTCCGCGGGTCCTTCAACTGGGTGAATTTCTGCTTCTTCGACCTTCGTTCTAATCGTGAAATGGTCCTTTAAGAAAGCGCTCCGCACGCTGCACAGTTCCCTTGTTACTATAGTTTGGGATCATCAAACTCGACCGCGAAGAGAATTTTTCTCGGAGATTGTGATAGCTCATAAAACTGACCGTCTCGAGTTTCTTCAAAAGCTTACACATTCCAGGGTTGACGAAAACGAGTCAAGTTGCGACCTGCCTACTCCGACTTCGTTTGGATTGGTCTACACCAAGCGCACTGGCCTGCGAGCAAAGCATGGACATGGACCGACGGAACTCCCTTCGATTTCCACATTTGGTCTGTTGGCGAACCAAACGACTATAAACATGCGGAACACTGCGCTCAGGTGGCTTCGTTCTATGACATTAGCGTTTTCTTTCACAAATTCTATAGGTTTCTTCAAAAGTGGTAAGTGTGCTTTGATCCGCCTCCTTATTCTAGAAAACGCGTGAACTCCTGATCCTGATTGAGGGAGAGGGATAGAGGATCACCAATATGGGGAAGACGCTCATGGTCAGTTGATAGGATGGAAAAAGGCCTGAATTCAACATTATATGCCTTTACGTGGGCGGCACGCCAGGCGTGAAGAGGGCCAAGGGGGAATCCCAATTCATATCGAGTACCTCCCACATCCTTTGTTGGAGATGAAGAGGGGGTTACTACGACAACATTTTAGATATCGTCGTGATCCCCTCTTCATCTCCAACGAATATGGGGCTGGGAGCAGGGAGCAATTTCCAAACGAGGGGACATATTCTCGATCTCGATGTCGGGAGGGGAGGGGCATCTTGGGATCGACTGAAGTTGGTAGAAGAGTCTTTTTTGGAAAGTTGAAGGGCTGGTTAAAGGCGGCTCTGGAAAGGAGGTCTTCTTGGGTTTTTTTGATTTATTCGGCGCGAGCTTACGGGAGTTGTGCAGAATAGAGAAAATCGGGTGATTTGTCATTATCTCTCTCCCACCGTCACCCTTCCTACCTTCCCACTCGACGGCCGTTCTGGGAGAAGAAATAAGAGGAGTTGTAGCGCGTTGACCGCGGTTGCAGAACTCGGAATCAAATGGTACCCTGGCCGAGAGGGGTTGCTCCTATTTGAATGGGTAGCTTGTTGTTATGGCTCTCCTATCCTCAATGTTGGACATGTAGCGTGCCCCTCATATTCATTTTCACCAAGTGATCTCAATGCCGACTGTTTTATCGCTTCGGTTGCAAGAAAAATCGGTTTGAAGCAATTGTTCAAAGCACGATGACCACGATAGCTGAAGTGGGATGCACTTTTGACGAACTCTTCAACATCACTGGCGAAAGGGTCTGAAGCAGGGTCAACCCTATGTTGCTACAAGTAGCAACGGGGGGTCGTATTTTGATGAGTTTGTAGGGGGAGGGGGTCGTACTTGCTTCGGTTGTAAGAAGTTGCATGTGCATGTGATGAGTGGGGAGCGGCGCGGGAGAAAATTTGCCGTTTCAGCGCGCGTATATATACCCTTCCCCCTCGACGGCAACTTTGTAGGGTACGAAGTTCTTCGGAGGCGGGGTGTATGGGACATTGCCATGAGGAGGGGGGGGCGGGGTGGTGAAAACTTTTTGAAAAAGTAGCAACGGTAGGACCGACCCTGGTCCGAAGGCGGTCTCAGCCACAACCCCACCCCTCCGCGCGTCCACAGTGGAACGTCATGTCAGAGTCGCCACCATTGTGGTGATTGCCGGTCCATTAGAAATTTCTGCCGCATGATTCACTTTTGATATTTGCATTAATGTATTGCCATTTCTAGTTTTACAACGCTCCATCGTCAGGATTATGGAATGTGGTGAAATCGAAATGGAATGATTACGCTTGTAACACAACCATGAAGTACTTCCTCTGCAAGAGCTCCACCATGCCAGAGCCAAAAGTGGTTTACGTGAACCCGGCTGACTCTTTTCCTGACGATTGTTA